TTCAGGATCAGGCTGTTATCTCAAAAGCGTCACCAAGGAGAGGAGGATTAGTATCAAATTCATTGGATTCCAAAATAATACTTTTCTGAAGAATTTCCAGAGTCTAAATGATAAACGGCTCCTCTATTCTGTTCAGTTCAGTTCAGTTTATTCGAACAACACAACAATATAAGATGTGTAAATACAACACAACACAATGAATACATAAACCATAATAAATTGTTCGAATAGGAATGGGACGAAATATAAACTTCTTAGTTTCCCATCCCTAATGATTCAAGAGACCTAAGTTCCTCATTTAACTAGTTACATTCACTCTTCCATATTAATCTACCTGTTTTTTATCTTTCCTCTTCTACATATTTATCCAAAAGTAATTTTTTGTACCTTCTCTTAAACAAATTTATGTTCACACTCTGCTTTAAACACGGCTGTAGACTATTCCATAACTTCACTCCACTACTTAATATAGTCATTCTTTTCATCGCTGTTCGTACCGTCTTCGTTCTGAATACTGCATCTCCTCTAAAATTATATTTTTCATCTCGTTCTTGAAACAATTCATTTATATTTTTAACCACTAGTTTGTTTTTTACTTTATACATTACTTGCGCTGTCTTGAATTTTACCAGGTCTGTGAAATTTAATGCATATAGCTGTATAAATAATCGATTGGTGTGCTCTCTAAATCCTACTTTGCATATTATTCTTATTGCTCTTTTTTGTAGTGTGCATATGGATTGTAATGTGCTCTTATATTCTATTATTAGAATAGGTATAAAATGAGCAATAATTACACTGTAGATCACTGTAGTGCCTCCAAACTTGTACGATACACAGATGACCTCATCTGGATCAGACTACAACTCTAACTATGGGAAGATAGGCCAAACTGTAATTTGGAGATTTATTCATTATTATAAGCAGGCAATAGCCAATTATTACACTATAGATCACTGTAGTGCCTCCAAACTTGTAGCACACATAGATAACCTCATCTAGTTCATCCTACAACTCTCACTTTGGGAATATGTGTTAAACTCTATTTTTTCATTGTTATTCTAAGCAGGCCAGGTGTTCATTCTCTGCAACAGGAACCACAGCACTGAGCGTTGTGTTCACTGCACAAAGTATACCTGTCGCACATGCAGGAAGGACTCACCTTGGGTTTGTAGAAACTGCTAAATGGGACAATTACAGCTTCATATGTAGAGCTTTTCCTTGGCTAAATAAATGTTACTGCTATACTGAAATACATTCTGTTTGTCATTTTCTAAGCTGAATGTCGTGAAAAGGTGAGATCAGACAAGATACAATTATTCTCTAAGTTGTTCTTTCTTTCACATAGTGATCTTTGCAATATAAATGAGTCTGTTGGTGAATGGATGATATAAATAGGCTCTGCCTTGCCTTGTTGGAAAAGCTGGTTATGACCTGTTCTCAGCTCAGGAACTAGGACCCGTATGATATCTGGTTGTTCAATAGGTTTAAATAAAAGATTTAGATCTGAATTATCAAGATATTCCTGCAGATGGTGCAGGGGAAGGTAATGAAAAGAGTTTGGAGCATGCTCTGGTTCTGATGGGGGGGGTTATAGCAGGACACCGCAGCTCCACCTGGATGCTGCTTCAGTCCCTGAACTTCCCACCTGTCAGAGGGAAAAAACCTGGGCTCCTCCCCCCACCCCCACATGTTGCTGGACGTCACAGAAAGAGGGTGGATTATTAGGAGACATCTTTATAGCTGCAGGTACATGATGATAACAGATGGGTAAAGGCATCCAGGTGTTTCCATGGTAACACAGGACTTACCTAACCACAGCAGCCACTTAGCAGCAGATGTTTGCGTTTAATCCTGATGAACCAAAGATCCACTATTAACAATGAGCAGCTCTTCACGATTTCAATCATCTTTAACTAAAGCAAGTTAAAAACGTTAGAAAATAACCAGTGCAGCTTTAATTTTTATTTAATCTAAATAAAATGATCATAAAAATGAATCAGAGCCTAATAAATGTTTCTAATAAGCAGTTAGCTCCTAATTAGCTGTTAGCTCCTTGTTGGCTTTTAGCTTTTAATTAGCTGTTAGCTCCTAATTAGCTGTTAGCTCTTTGTTGGCTGTTAGCTTTTAATTAGCTGTTAGCTCCTAATTAGCTGTTAGCTCCTGATTGGCTGTTAGCTCCTGATTGCCTGTTAGCTTCTAATAAGCTGTTAGCTCCTTATTGGCTGTTAGCTTCTAATTAGCTGTTAGCTCCTTATTAGCTGTTAGCTTCTAATTAGCTGTTAGCTTCTAAATATCTGTTAGCTCCTAATTAGCTGTTAGCTCTTTGTTGGCTGTTAGCTCTTTGTTGGCTGTTAGCTCTTTGTTGGCTGTTAGCTTTTTATTAGCTGTTAGCTCCTTATTAGCTGTTAGCTTCTAATTAACTGTTAGCTCCCAATTAGCTGTTAGCTCCTTATTGGCTGTTAGCTCCTTATTAGCTGTTAGCTTCTAATTAGCTGTTAGCTCTTATTAGCTGTTAGCTTCTAATTAGCTGTTAGCTTCCAATTAGCTGTTAGCTCCTAATTAGCTGTTAGCTTCCCATGACTAACCCATCAATGGGGAACGGGTGAATAAGTGAGAGACAAAATGATTAATTTTTTTTTATTTCAGTTACCAGATGAGCAGATACAACATTTTAGAAAACAAATAATTTTACAAAATACAAAAGAAAATTAGAATCAAATTCTGTAAATCTAGATAATTTACAGAATGAAGTTTATTCCGTCTGAATCAACAAGAAGACGAAGCAGCGATGGCCGTCCTTTGCTCCCAACAATAAATAAAAACAGTGTTTATATATCATGTCTGACGTTCCCAGTCAGGAAGTTCATGACTATTTACCCCCAAAAAGTTCTCGTACATCACCCCCCCCCCCCACCACCACCACCACCACACAGAGAAAACAAATCACAGCAGCGACAGAACGATCGGCCATTTTAACGAACGATAATAAACAGAAGAAACGTTTAATGGAAGGAGTGGTCACTGTGGTCAGCGGAAGTTTGCTCTCAGCTGATTGGAGCAACAACCATAAAGAAAAACGGCTCCAAACCGCATCAGGCCGACGGCTGCACGGTGTGACAGAACCCTAACCCTAACCGGCACAGGAAGGACAGACTCGGCATGAAGCTATGGCGCTTCAGGATGGGACGGAATGACATCACAGATCCCGCCGCTTCTCCTCAAGCTTAAAAATCACCTTCCCTGTTCTTCAGGGGAAGAATTATGACTTTGTTCCAGTGAGCGAGTTTGTGCACTAGCATAAATCATCCATCTTGTTTAGCAGTTAATTAGTCTTGTTTACCCTCTGAGTAACCTCAGGATGGCGCTGCGATAGGAGGAAGCCTGGCTGCAGCAGATAGCATGCTATAGGCATCAGTTCTTCCTTCTCTGCCTGTAACCCGGGTTCAGCTTCCCAGCATCCTGACCTGCAGCTCGTTGCTAAGGTGACGACATCTAAAGCTCCTGGGACATACAGGAGGCTCCGCTTACTGCTTCGTTATTCTAGGAAATAATCAGAAATGAGTAAAACAGAGACGGATGGACATTTCTCCTCTCATCACCTCCTCTTCATGAACTCCCCACCATTTCCAAAACCTTTCCAGTTCCTCCTCCCATTAAGCGCTGAGCCACTTTTATCATCACTTTCACCAAAACACATTAAGCCTGTGTGTCCAGAGTGGAACACGGGGGGGGAGGGGGTGAAGAACATTAGATTAGCAATCAGGATGCATCAAGCTGGCATTACTTTGGAGATTAAAGAAAATGGAGTGTTGCTGATGGTTGTCTGATGGATGATTGTCCTGAAGGGAGCAGGAGCCACCTCTTCTCACCGGGGAGGGGGGAGGAGAGACTCGCCCCCACCTCCTTCTGTCTTAGACTTGATTGTGCAGCAAAGCTGATGGACTATTCAGTCCCTGCAACGAGCAGAAGAGCAGGTCCAGTTCAGCATGAACTGCAGAACATTGCTGACGTTTCTGGGTGACTTTGCTCTGACAAACCGAACCAGTGACTTTGGCTGTGACAGTTGGAACGACCCCTCCCGTATCGCGCCTTCGGTCGGTCCGGATTGTTTTGGTTTTTTTTTTCTAAAGGAAGGTTCCTTCTCTTTTCCTTTGTTTACATCATCTCCCCCTAGCGATGATACCTGCCAACTGTGTGCAGTTTTGTTGCAGATTGCTGCTGTCTTTAGGGAATTCTATCACACTTTCCAAACAAATAACCCTTCAAACAGGCTAATCGGTAGTTTTTCAATTGGAATCTGCGGCAAAGGTCACCTTCTAGTTACTCTTTCATATGCTGGACCAATAAAACGCTTCTTATTGGAGATGTCAGTAGATCAGAGTTTACAGCTCCTGCCTTTACATTCTCACCTGTGAGCCCTACTGCACTGTGTGCAGCCGTTTAATCATCTTCTCAGGACTTTAGCAGGAAATAATACTTTACATGGATCGCACACATTGAATGTGAACATAGAACATAACTTTGTCTGGTATTAAAGTTACTGCATCTCTATGAAAAATGGCTTTAAAGTGCATGAGAGCCAAGAAGAAACCAGATAAAATAATAACCAAAACAACTGGAGGTCATTAATGGGAGAGAGGCAGAATTCACCACTGGGCTCATTGGGGCCTCATTGGGGGGACTCATTGGGGGGCTCATTGGGGCCTCATTGGGGGGCTCATTGGGGGCCTCATTGAGGGGCTAATTCGGGCCTCATTGGGGGGACTCATTGGGGCCTCATTGGGGGGACTCATTGGGGCCTCATTGGGGGGCTCATTGGGGCCTCATTGTGGGGCTCATTGGGGCCTCATTGGGGGACTCATTGGGGCCTCATTGGGGGGCTCATTCGGGCCTCATTGAGGGGCTCATTCGGGCCTCATTGGGGTACTCATTCGGGCCTCATTGGGGGACTCATTGGGGCCTCATTGGGGGGCTCATTCGGGCCTCATTGAGGGGCTCATTCGGGCCTCATTGGGGGACTCATTGGGGCCTCATTGGGGGACTCATTGGGGCCTCATTGGGGGGCTCATTGGGGCCTCGTTGTGGGGCTCATTCGGGCCTCATTGGGGGGCTCATATAGGGGCTCAGTGGAGGCTCATTGGGGCAGGTTCAGTACAGCAGGAGACAGAAACATTTAGAAACATGGTGGAAGGACGTGAAGTAGGGAAGTTCACAGAGTCTTCAAGAAATAAACATAAATAACATCACAGAAAGTCAGAGTAACATTAAACCAGGGAGCAGCCAAGCCAGACCCCGCCCAGTGGGTGATTTTGATGGTCTGTTCAAACCTCAGCTCTGAGTTCATCCGGGGACCCAGCCCTGGTGGCTCTGTGCTGGTGGAGGGCAAGGATAACCTCCTAACGTCATGCCCATCCCCATGGCCACCCCTTCAGATAGAGGGCCATCAAAGCTGAAGTCAACACTGTCTGTGGCCATAAAGTCATTGAGCAGGACTGGGTTCACGTGGCAGTCTATGCTGCTGGGGAGGTTCTCCATTTCCAAGCTGGCAGTGATTCTGCTGTGTGAGTTCTGTCCCTGGTACCCAGCATCGCCTACTTGGTGACTCTGGTTGCTGTGAAAATAGGACTGCCAGGGTTCAGCCATGGGCTGATGGGGTCCTCTTTGATAGGGATGTTGTCGGGGCTGAGGGGCAGATGCTAGGCGGCAGGGGTCCTGAGGAACATCCATGATGCTTGCAGGGTTTGGGGGCAGAGAAGGAGATATTGGGAGGTGGGGTCGAGGCCCATAGTGACCCGAATTCTCAAGACTGTAGGGCTGCAGGAGGTCTGTGCTAACCCGAGGGGACAGAGCCTGATGCCGGGGCCTGGAATGGATGCTCTGAGGATCATGGGGCGTTTGACGGTGCAGCTGAGTTTGACTAGAGTTGTGATCATGGCTGGAATCTCCTTTCCCTCTGTGGCCTTGCTCATGTCGTCCATATTCATGGGAAGGGTATGGCTTGTGACTGTGGCTGTAGCCTTGGCTGGCTTGGTGTTTGGGATTTTGGCAGTGGGTTGTGTTTTGGTCATGGACTGGGCTTTTACCTTGACCGGGGTTATGAGCCGGCTCATGGATGTTGTTCTGGTTTTGATTGTGGACATTATTGCCCTGCGTCATCAGTGCACCTGGTGCCCGTCCTTGACCCAGCACATTGTCTTTGTTGCAGTAAGGACCTCCTGTAAGCAGACTCTGCAGAGCATTGTTCTTTGGATAGCCCCTCATTGGGTGCTGAAAGCTGACCTGCTTGTTCTCTTGAATGGTCTCCATTGGGGTGTGTCGCTGCAACATACAAATGGAAGACTGTCCATAAACAGGCCCACAGTAGGATCCCTCTGGTTTTGGTCCAGGACCAAAGGGATAAACATTGGACTTGATTTGCTGCTCCTGCTGGGAGAAGCTACTGTCATCTAGACCAATAGCTCCAGTCAGGTCGGTGAACTGAGGCAGTTCCACATTGGGGCCGTGGCCCCCTGTAGCCAAGGCTGGTGAGCGGGTGCTGGTAGGACTGGGGTATATCCGAGGGGAAGCTGAACAGGGCAGTCCCCCTTCCTCGGGTTCATCAGCTTCAGCCTCTGCGAGGATTGGGGACAGACAGCCACTCAGGGTGGAAGCAGAGGAGGAAGTGCGGGAATGCAGCTCTGTCCAGTTCTCATACTCTTCACCGGTGATGCCAACACATCCTTTCCCTGCTGGACTGCCGTGTTCTGGGGAGCTCTGCATTGTTGGACCAGCCCCCTGGCATTGTCCGCGTCCCAGTCCGATTGCTCCCGCTCTTTTTCGACTCATGCGACCTTTAGTCTTTAAGTAGCGTGTCCCGCTGTCTGTCGATGAGGCCCGTCGTCTTGGTCCCTTACCCATCTTCCCCCCTTCTGGGTTTAACATCCACCAGGAACTCTTTCCTGTTCCCTCGTTCTGCACTCGGATGAATCGACTGTGCAATGACAGGTTGTGTCTGATTGAGTTCTGTAATGACAGGAAAAGATGTGGGAAATGTGAGAAAAACAAGCATATAATCAGGAAAGGCTGAAGAAACACTAAAAGCTAAATAATTTTGTTTAGGGATAAACTATCAAGCATTCATGACAAGTTAGACAAAAAATAGATAAAGAAAAAGCAGTGGATAGCAGAGAGGGCAGTGAGTGTGAAGGACCAATCGATATCTCCCCTGACTAACCGCTGCTCTCTGCACACGCTCACTGAGTCACAATATCAACATGGGAGCAGCATCACATCAAACTATCACCAAGGTTACAGGAATGAATCGCAGGAGGAAACCTGATCACAGAGCGCCCGTACGCATCACATCCACCACAGGGGAGGGGGGTGAGTAGAGGGAGATAGAAGAGAAGAGGGAGAGAGGCAGCCGTCCATCCATCATCCATCCATCCACCATCCATCCATCATCCACCCCATCCCCATCCATATCCCCCCCGCACCCAACCTTAAATTCCTTCCCTTTCACCTTTCCATCCATCAATCTTCCATCCACCACCCCCACCATCCTTTCCACACCCACCCCATTTCCATCCCCCAACCCACTTAATCTTTCCATCCATCCTTTCATCCACCCAAACCATCATCCCTCCAACCTGCCATCCATCCATCCATCCATCCATCCATCCATCCCATCCATCCATCCATCATCCAACATCCTTTCATCCATCCATCATCCATCCCACCTACCCTCATCCATCCACCATCCCCAATCCATCCCTTCATATCCATCCACCCTTTTCCATCCACCATTCCTTAAATTCCATCCATCATCCATCCATTTTTTCCATTCCACCCAAAGCCCCCTTCCTTTCCACCTCCAAATCCCAATCATCCTTTCCATCATCCCCCCCCCATCCTTTCCCATCCCCCCCATCCTTCCCCCCCATTCCACCCACCATCCTCCACCCATCCATCATCCGCCATCCCCCACCCATCCATCCTCCATCCACCCATCCTTCCATCCATCCTTCCCAACCACCCCATCCCTTTCCTCCTTTCCTTCCCTTCCTTTCCATGCCTTTTTCATCCCCATTTCCTTTTCCATCCACCCTTTCCTTCCTTCCTCCATCCCCTTTCCCCTCATCCCTTTCCAAAATCCCCATATCCTCCACCCACCACCCCCTTCCCACATCCCTTCCATCTTTTTCCCCATCCCACCCAATCCATCCATCCCATCCACCACCCCAATCCCCCATCCACCCATCATCCACCCAACCCTTTCCATCCACCCATCCACCATCACCCCTCCACCACCCAATCCATCATCCATCCATCCATCCATCCATCCACCATCCTCATCCATCCTTTCCATCCATTCCATCCCACCCACCAAATCATCCACCCTTCCCCATCCATCCACCACCACCCCATCCAAACCATCCACCCATCACCCACCCATCCACCCACCTTCCATCCATAATCCACCCCATCTACCATTCCCCCATCCACCCAAACACCCCCATCCTTTCATCCATCCACCACCCCACCCATCATCCATCCATCATCCATCCATCCATCCCTTTCCATCATCCATCCATTCCACCCATCCACCCCAACCACCCAAATGCCATCTCCACCCAAAGTCACCCATCCATCCAAAACCCACCCAAAATCCCCCAATCCATAAATCACCCAAATCCATCCCATCACCATCCATCCACCCACCCTTCCATCCATCCATCCACCCAAACCACCCAAACCCAAACATCCATCCATCCCACCCATCATCCATCCATCCACCATCACCATCCCCACCCATCCTTTCCCCACCCCATCACCCATCCATCCCTATAAATCCATCCATCATCCACCCATCCACCCACCCATTCCATCCTTTCATCCACCAAACCTCCTTTCCATCCATCATCCATCCCCATCCCCATCCATCCACCCATCCTTCCATCATCCCCCATCCCCCCTTTCCTTCCACCCATCCATCCACCCACCACCCATCCACCCTCCTTCCTTACCAAACCACCATCCCATCCATCCCCCCACCATCCATCCACCCAAAAACCTTCTATTCCATCCACCATCCACCATTCCACCTTCCTTTCCCAAACCATCCATCATCCTTCCATCCCTTTCCATCCATCCTCCATCCACCCCATTTCCATCCAACCACCCACCCAAACCATCCACCCTCCACCATCCATCCCACCCAATCCTTTTCCACCCACCCAATCCCTCCATCTTTCCCATCCCCATCCATCCATAACCCAAACCATAAATCCATCCTCCATCCACCCATCATCCACCCAATCCCCTCACCCATCCACCCACCATCCACCACCCATCCATCCATCATCCATCCATCACCCAATCCACCCATCCATTTCCTTTCCACCCAATCCATCATCCACCCATCACCCAAACCACCCACCATTCATCCATTCCACCATACCACCCAAACCACCCTTTCCCATCTTCCATCCACCATCCACCCAAACTCCATCCACAACCATCCATCACCTCCACCATCCACCCATAAACCATCCATCACCCACCACCATCCCCCCCTTTCCACCCCCCATCCCCCATTCCACCCATCATCCACCCAAAATTCCACCATCCTTCCCCCTTTCTTTTCCACCCATCATCCACCATCCCCATCCATCCATCCTTTCTTTCCACCCATCCACCCCACCATCCATCCCCACCCTCATCCACCCCCTTCTTCCCCTTAAATCCACCAACCTTCCCTCTTCCTTTCCTCACCTTCCTTCATGCACCCTTCCATCCCTCCTCATCCATCCATACCCACCCAAACCACCCTTCCCACCCACCACCCTCCCCCCATCATCCCCCACCACCACCCCTTTCACCACCCCATTTTCCACCCAAACCATCCATCCACCCACCCAAATCCATCATCCACCCACACCAAACCCCCACCTTTCCATCCTTTCCTTTATCCTCCTTACCTTTCCCCCAATCTCTCATCCTTCATAAATCCATCATAAATCCTTCATCCTTAAATCCTGCCATATTCCTTCCTTCACCCAACCCTTTTTTTCCATCACCCATCCTTCCATCATCCCCCACCATCCACCCATAAATTCCATCCTTCACCCTTTCCACCATCCATTCCATCTTTAATCCACCCACCCAACCCACCATCCAAATCCATCCACCAAAAAAAATTCAAAACCATCATCGTCCTCCACCCTTTAAACCTTCCCCCAACCACCATCATCCATCCATCATCCATTCCTTATCCAATTTCCCTTCCACACCCCAACCATAAATCCACCCACCCCATCCTTCCATCATCCACCCCCTTTCCATATCTTTCCTTTCCATTCATCCACCTTTCCACCCACCCATCCATCATCCTTCCACTTCCATTTCCTTCCCCCACCATCATACCCATCTTTCCTTTCCTTCATATGCCTTCCTCCAAAACCACCCCTTCCCAAATCCATCCATCCTTACTCCACCCCAATAAACCCCTTCCCAAATCCTCCTTCCACCACCACCCTCATCCTTTCCATCACCCTTTCCCTTTCCAAAATCCTCCATCTTCCATAAAATCCATCCCTTTCCATCCACCCATCCCCTCCATCCATCCACCACCCAATCCTTCTCCTTCCTTTCCACCATCATCCATCCATCCAACCCATCCTTCCACCTCCATCCATCCCCCCCCCATCCATTTCCATCCATCCAACCCCTTAATCCACCCATCCACCCATCCATCCACCCCCCCCCAACCCTTTCCCATCCATCCACCCACCCCATCCAAATCCTCCACCCAAAACCACCATAAACCACCCTCCACCACCACCCACCCACCAACCCCAATCACCCACCATCCACCATCCATCCATCTTCCATCCATAAACCCCCTTCCACCCTTCCATCCACCATCCATCCATAATTCCATCCTTCACCATCCTTACCCCCACTTTCCCCCCAACCTCCACCATCCCCCAACCCAAAAACTTCCCCCCCTTCACCCATCCATATAACCCCCAAAAACCCCACCATCCATCCTTTCCCCCTTAAACACCTTTCCAACCATTCCTTTCCTTTCCATCCTTCCCCACCCACCCAAACCCCTTTCCTTCCTTCTTCCTTTCCTCCTTCCACCCATCAATCCATCTCCAACCCCCAACCATCCTATCCTACCCCAAACCATCTTCCCCCCAGTTAAACCCATCCCCCAAATCCAACCAAAAATCCATCCAACCCCCACCCCTTCCCATCCCTCCCACCATCCTTTAAAACCCCCCACCCCATAACCCACCCCCTTTCCTTCACCTTTCCCAAAACCACCACTAAATCCCCCATTCCCAACAACTTTCCCTTTTTTTCCTTCCACCGGGCCACCCATCCAACCCCCCAATCCAAATCACCCCCTTTCCACCCACCCAACCTTACCATCCAATCAACCATCCCCCCTTCCACATCCTTTCCATCCCCCAAACCATCCATCACCCACCCCCCCCACCCCCTTTTTCCCCCCATCCAACCCATCCCCACCCAAACCCACCCCCAAACCAAACCACCCCAACCATCAAATGTCCCTCCATTTTCCATCATCCCCCCCTTCCCCCCTTCCATCCACCACCCAAACCAAAGCACCACCAAATTCCATCACCAATCCAAACATCCAACCCCCCCCTTCCCCCAAAAACCTTCCCCCCATCCATCCTTTCCCCAAACCATCCCCAAACCAATCCTTTCATCTTTCCATAAAACCCCCCAAAATCCAAAATCCCACCCCATCCTCCCCATCCACCCCCTCATCCATCCACCCAAACCCCCAAGCCATCCATCCACCTTCCTTCCATCACCCTTCCTTTCAAACACCCAAACCCCCAATCCTTCCACCAACCTTTCCACCAACCTTCCACCCAAACCAATAAATCCCCCCTCCTCCACCCTTCCCAAACCAACCACCATCAATCCATCCCCCTTCCTCCTTATTTTTTCCAAACCCATCCAATCCACCCATCCACCCT